ACCCCGAAGGCGACAAAGTATACCACGATGTGAAAAAGATGTTTTGGTGGCCCAACATGAAAAAGGAAGTCGCAGACTTCGTGGGCAAATGTCTGAACTGCCAAAGAGTAAAGGCTGAACGATGCAAACCCAAAGGACTCGTCCAACCCCTGGAGATACCACAAGGAAAGTGGGACTCCATATCCATGGATTTCGTCGGAGGATTGCCCACAACACCAACCGGCAAGGATAAAATCTGGGTGATAGTGGACTGGCTAACCAAGACAGCACGGTTCATTGCTATGAAAGAAACATGGACCATGACGCAGCTAGCTCGGGCCTACCTGAACCAAGTAGTAAAATACCACGGGATCCCCCGAAACATTGTGTCCGATAGGGATCCCAGGTTCCTCTCACAATTCTGGAAGTCTCTACAAACAGCCCTAGGGACACAGCTGAATCTGAGCACTGCCTTCCACCCCACTACTGACGGCCAAACCGAGAGAACCATCCAGACTCTCGAGGACATGCTAAGGGCCTGCATGTTAGATTTCCAAGGGACATGGGAAGAACATCTAGACCTCATCGAGTTCTCCTACAACAACAACTACCACGCGAGTATCCGCATGGCTCCCTACGAAGCTCTGTACGGTCAAAAATATAGAACCCCCTTATGTTGGGAAGACATGGTCAGCCCAGTGACACTAGGACCCCAATACTTACAAGACACCATAGCTAAAGTCAAGCACATAGAAGAAAGAATGAAGGCCGCCCAAGACCGCCAAAAATCCTACGCCGACCTAGGGAGAAAACAAGCCGAGTTCACCACCGGAGACAAGGTCTGGTTGAGAATCTCACCCACGCGAGGGGTAATGAGGTTCGGAAGGAAAGGGAAACTAGGCCCCGGTTTATCGGCCCCTACGAAATCATAGAAAGAGTCGGGAACCTGGCCTACCGCCTCGCCCTACCCATCGAACTGGAACGGGTACACAATGTATTCCACATATCCCAACTAAAGAAATATGTACACGATCCAAGCCACGTGCTACAACACAGGGCCGTGGGCCTCAACGACACACTAACTTACGAAGAAAAACCCGTAAGAATCCTGGACACCAAGACAAGAACCACTCGCCAGCGAGCCACAGAAATGGTAAAAGTCCTCTGGACCAACCATGGGACCGAAGAAGCAACATGGAAACTCAAAGACACAATGAAGGAACGCTATCCCGAACTCTTCACACAAGGTAACCAGGGCGAAAACATAGGAGAAGAGACGAGGGCACTTTACGAGGACCAAAGCTTCGGGGACGAAGCTTCCCATTAAGGGGGGGAGAGTGTAACACCCCGTGTTACGGCCCATGAACCAATTAACTATTTACCCGGAAGAGAAGAAATAAATCTCATTAACTAATTAATTAAGAAAGGCCCACCATAGTCCATGAGCTCTTATCCCTAATCCCAATTCCCTAGTTCTAGAAGGAATAGAACTAACCCTAATTAGGGACTCTTAGGTATATAAATAGGGGGCATAGAAGGAACCTAGAACCCACACCACAATAATCTCTCACCACACAAGAAGTTCCAAGAATCCCCCTAGGAGAAATCAAGAAAGAAGGAATCTTAAAGAAAGGCTAAGAGGTAACCTATGTCTCAACAAAACCTATTTTCCTTGCTATAATTATTTTCTTTGGCCTCCTCTCTATACTTGTGTCTTGATGAATCGTTTATGATATTGAAGATATATTCATGATGATTGTAAGATGATTTTATGTGTGATCTTGATGATCTTGATGATGATAAGAGGTTCTTGATGACTATGTGATGTTCTTGATGAATCTTGATGTTTTGGCAATTAAAAGATGAACTATGATTTTATTGATTTGAATATGATTAGAACCCTAGGTTAAAATTAGGAATTTCGTATTGCGTTATTCTTGATATAATTAGGTGGGATTTCGCATGTTCGGGTGTTGATTATGTTTAGAAGTCGTGATAGGATATGTGCTATATGATTCTAGCTTTTGATCCGTTAATTGTCTACGTGGTGTCATCAATTGCGTTTAAAAGTGTCTAAGCATGGTGTCGGGTTCCACAACGGATCCCGGGACGTTTATTTTGATGAAAAGTCAGTGGGGGGTAGGGGGACCCGCCACCTACTCGCTGCCCGAGTAGGGCGTCGCCGGCAGCGGGCAGCCGGCGGGCAGGCGACTGCCCGCTGGGCACCCGCTGCCCGGAGACTTGTCGCCGGCGGGTGGTCCTCCACCCACCGGCTACCCGCTGGAAATTTCCCCACCTCGGGATCCCGGCATCCCCGTTTAATGTTCCCCCGACCCCCGTGGCGTCCCAACGGACTCCGTCTATCATGCCTAAAGTCTAGTTTGATGTTTCGGGTACCATTCGTGCCTAAAGAAGCATGAACCCCTTAGGGTTATTTCTAGTATGTGGATGACCACGCATAGGTTTCGTTATACGATTTCTCCCCCTTCCCAATGTGTTAATGTGGGTTGCATGTGCTTGCTATGTGTTATGTGTGCATGATACCCCAATTTGGTTGCGATCAAATTGGTTATTCCTGAGCTGCGGTTCAGAAGCTGTCTGCGGTACATTCTCGGGTTGCGGTCCACCGTTTCGCTGCAATCAAACGTTTTACATGAGCTGCGGTTCATATTCCTGGCTGGGGTCAGATGACTACTCTTGGGCTGCGGTCCACTGTTTGGTTGCGATCAAACATTATGATGAGCTGCGGTTCATGGGTCGGTTGCGATCGACCCCTTCGTATTGCGATACGAGGCAGGGTGCTGCGGGGCCGTGTCAGAGCTATATGCACTGACCCTCATGTATGGGCATGCGATTGGTCCTGTGGCGCCACCAAAGTGTGCTTGCGTGTGATGAGATACGAATTGGGGTGATGATGTGAATGAGATGAAGTGAATCTGTGACCATAGGATATATGCTAGTATCTCTATATGCGTGATTATAACTGTTGAATGTGCTTATCCCTATTTGTCGAGTCTATTCCTGGTTTTAAAACTAGCGTCTCCTAAGTATATATCTTCCTGCTTCAAAATGACTTTTCGTATATCTATATACATATATCTATCTATAATGTATTTCAACGCGTTGGAGTGGGTTACCAGCATCTCTCGCTGAACAGATATATTTGGCTTTCAGGCACTGAAGAGTAGACACTGGAGCGCGCTAGAGATTCGGAGTGTAGAGTAGATAGTTTCCCTTTTTGGCCTGCGTGCCATGCTTGCGTATTTACATTATTGAGGATATTAGCTAGTTAGCCTGTGCACCTGAGTTCTCTAGCTCAGGTGTGGCATAACACCCCGTACTCTACTATATTATGTTTGGGATTTAATGAGAATTTACCTTTATTATATAAGTCTTAAAAGTTTTAAAATTTCGGGGTGTTACATTAAGATTCTCTTAGGGGTGCGAAGATTAATTTAGTTTATATTTTTACTTGCACAAATGGCTAATGAGTGAATATAATTTTACATTTTCTACTCTCAGTGTTATTTTATTTTTCTGTTCATAATTACTGCCAATAACACCTCCGCTGAAGTTCGAACTCACAACCTCCCACATGGGAGTCCAATCTAGGTGCCATCTGAGCACAAGGTGCTTAGCCAGTGTTATTTTATTTGAGATACAATTTCTTTAAAATGATTTGAAGAATCTAAGTACTTGTGGTATTATATATATAATTAAAATGAAGATTGAAAGAGCTCGAATTACTCCTGATGGAATAATCACGGAGCAGGATCGGAGCGGAGCATTACGGACCGGGTCGGACCCGGCACCCAGCCGCGACGCGTGGAGAGCCGCCCCGCGGTCGACCAACCACCCCAGGGTCGGCCCAGCACGGGGTCGGCTCGGTGTCGATCGACCCCCACGGGCTCGGCCACATGGGCTCGGTCGAGCTCATGGTCGGCCCCTTGGCTGAGCTCCGTGCTCGGCCATGGACTGGGTCCTCGCGTGGAGCGAGTCCCGCGGCTCCTCCCGCGGACCCAGGGTCCATAGCGGCCGTATATAAACACCCCCCAGTGTCCTAATCAATCATCTTCTACCTTCATACAATACATGTAACGTTATTACACGTCCCGATCCTCTGTAATAGCATTATTCGCTCAATTAATATAATATTTATCATTTTATCATTCGTTCATCACATTCGACATATATTTGGGTTGTATAATCCGAACCCCCAGGTTCATATAATCCATCATTGGTGCTCTTGTTGAGGGCGGTTGTACAAGCTTAAGCGCTCTCCCTATTATCCTTCATCTGCAGCAATGACAAGATCCGGGTCGAACACCCACAACTCGCAGGGTTCACGCAACACGCACGACCTCTCCCTCGCCAACCACCTCAATAGGACCACGGCAGGTCGGCAGACTGTGCCCGTGGGAACGGGAGGGGATCTCAGAGATCAGATCAACGGGAACTGGCGGGGGACGGCGGAGGACCTCCAGGGTCGGCTCACCAACAATCGCCCGCTCAACGGGACGGCGCCACCCGTCCCACCCCCGATTCCGACTCCCCAAGAGGAGGACGCCACACTCGAGCAGGCGGCGATCGCGCTCAATCGCGTCGCGGCGGGGCTGCGACGGGGTGCCCTGGCACCTCCATCTCCGCCCCCTCTGAGGGAGCAAGGTGGCCCCAGTACTCATGCGCCCCGGCCGCCCGCGACGCCGGCCGATGGGGAAGTCAACTCACCGCGACCATCCGAGAGACGAGACGCAGCCGAGGCAAGCACGAGTAACGGGAGGAGAGGAGGACTCGGTCGACCCGGACCGCATCAGCACTCGGGCGGTTAGGCGAGATTGCCTAGGGCCGAGGCCGGCCACAAATGCCAGACCGGCGGAGTCGTCGTGTTCACGGAGGTCCCGGAGCCACGAACTCGTGTTTCGGGGCCACGGGAGCCGACCCCACCAGTGGAGTACTCGGGGGAGACCCGGGGCCGACCTCTGAGCGCCCAGCGCGACGAGACGGAGCAGTTACACAAGCAAATGCACGAGTTGCAGCGCAAGATAGAGGGACGCGACGAGTCACCGGAGCCTCGGGACGCCCTGGCCACACCTTTCACGAAGGACATCATGGCTAAGCCCCAGCCTCGGGACTTCCGATTCCCGGCCATCAAACCTTACACGGGGGCGACTGACCCACGAGATCATCTCAACAGGTACAAGGCAGTCATGATGATGACGGGCGTCAATGACGCAATCATGTGTCGCGGCTTCTGCACAACTCTGGATGGCCAGGCCCAAGACTGGTTCGGGTCCTTGCCGGGGGAGTCCATCCCCAGTTTTGCCATCCTAGCTATGAAGTTTATGTCACACTTCGCGGGCAGCATACAACGAAGGAAACAGTTCGCCTACCTGTGCTACCTGAAGCAACAGAAGTCGGAGACCTTGGCGGAGTACCTGAGCAAGTGGAAGAAGGAGGCCATGGGGGTGACCAATTTCGACATAAGGTCCGCCATCCCATTCTTCACAAACAATCTCAGGTCTGATCCTTTCCACAGCGACCTCGTCCGGAATGAGCCAAAGACGTACACGGAGTCGATGGATCGCGCCGCGCGTTATGCCAATGCCGAGGCAGCAGAGAAGAGGAAGGAGGAAGAAGAAGGCCGGGGATGCGGCGACAAGGCACCTCAACCCCAGGAGGATCGCCGCCCGTCGCGATCACGCCGTGATCGGGGTCCCCCCTAGCCTCGCTACAACACCTGACCCCGCTAACCCAGCCTGTGAGTGTTATTCTGGACCACGCGGAGGACATGGACATCGTGTCATCCCCGAGGAGTGCTAGAAGATCTCCCCCAAGGCTGACCCGAAGAAGTACTGCCGCTTCCATCGGCAGCGTGGGCATGACACGGACGAATGTATGGTCCTCAAGAGGCAAATCGAAGAGGTCATCCAACGAAGATACCTAGGCCAATATGTGAAGAGATCCAGGCAGGACCACGCCAAAGGCCCCGACAACGCCCAGAAGAAGAAGGATTGCGCTGGGCCACCGCCTCTGTCCCGCGCAAAAGGGAACTCGGCCAACTAACGGAGGACGAGGACACCGAGCCAGACAGCCCGACAAAGAAGAAAGTCATCCACGTCATCTTTGGCGGCCTGGAGAGAGGAGACACACCCGCTGAGAGGAAGAGGTGGGCACGGAGCCTATACGTGGGGGAGGTCGTCCGAGCAGCCACGAAAAGTGGAAAAGCAGGGAGCCTATAACGTTCACCGACGACGACCTCCCCAATGGCCCCCTGCTCCACCGAGACGAGTTGGTACTCAGGTTCGAGATCAAGGACATCATCGTCCACCGCGTACTGGTGGATACGGGGAGCTCCGTGAACGTCATGTATTATGACACCTTTACACAACTCGAGCTATCCTGGAAGCAACTTTCCCCGGTACGGACCCCGCTATCTGGTTTTACTGGGGACTCCAGCGAAATAGAGAGCTCCATCGCCCTCGAGTAGGGGTGTGCATAACCCGAGAAATCCGACCCACCCACCCGACCCAAAACCCGACGGGCGAGTCCGTGGAGCGAACCGTATCCGAATACCACGCCCGATCCGATGCTACGCTACAAGATGGATGCAGGGGGTTCGGGTGGGAGGCAGTAAACGCCACCCGAACCCGTCCGAACATCCGATAAAACCCTAGGGTTTTTTTACCCTATGTAATACGACGTCGTTTGGTTTATATATATATATATATATATATATATATATATATATATATATATATATTACCCATTTCATTCAGCGCAGCCGAGCTCCCATTTCACTCTTCTAGACTTCTCTCAATCTCTCATCTCTCATCTCTCGTTCTCTCTTTCGCTCTGGTCTTTGAGACTTTGAGTCTTACTCTCTAAGACTCTATGTTCTCTCACTCTCTCAGTTTGTTAGACACTCACAGTTGTATTCTGGTGGAAGCCCTATTCGGAGACTCGGAGTAGCGACTAGCGACTAGTCTGGCGGAGTGGTGGAAGCCCCAGACCCTAGTCCAGTCACCGGACTCCGGTGGAACTGTGGAACGGCGGAATAGTGGATTCGAAGCCCTTTGTTCTCGAGGGATTAATTTTGAGAATCGAAGTAATTACTAAACCCTATTTACATTTTCGCTATAGATTATTGTGTATTTGTCTTATTGATTAGGGTTTCAAATTTGTTATGATTATGTGGACTGTGATCTTTGTAAATCTGTTGAGAAGTTCCGGATTGCATGTCACTAGTCCTTTGAGTGTTTTTTTTTTTTAAACGATACTTTATTAATAAAAGAGAGGCCGAAGCCAAAACAAAGTCCAAAGGATTAGGCCCCACATGACCTAAATCCTACTAACTAAACTAAGCTAAGCTAAAAGATAAAACAATTATTACAAAACGAAGGCCCCCGGGGCTATAACATGCGTGGCCCCAAGTCCCATGCTAGTCATATAGCTAACACTAGACCATAGGCTAGGATAAAATACTAATAAAAGCTACTAAGTAAAAAGTAGACTGCACAGCTGCTCGAAAGGATGTAAATGCAAATGTAGCTCATCAGCGCCACAGCCCACCATATAACCGTGTAGATGGATGACAAGGGGAACAACCACCTTGCTTGTCACGCGCCATAGCACCTCCCTGCCAGCTGCACCATAGCGTCCCAGCACTATGATGCAATCCGATCGGGCTGCAACCACAACCGCAACATCTCCTGGGGTGCTATTGACTGCCCTGTTAAAAGCAACAATACACATGCTCCCGGCTAAATATAAAGTTTTTTTTTTTTATAAAACATACAGAAATATCGGCACACAGCCCTAAGTCAAAGATATCATGACTAATACAGGACGGATCACAGGCCTTAACTTCGGCACACAGGCCAGTGCAACATAACAAGGCAGCCAATAGCATCAACCCCCGATCAGCACCAGCAACGAACCAGAACCAACCCTAACGGGATTAGTTACTATGGGCCAACAGCAAGCCTGGACTATCGCCAACGGATTTGAAAAACCCCTACCCGGCCACCGTTCAGCCCGGGCCAGGGTGCAATTTCTTACCGCTTGCACCAACATTGAGGCCTGGTCTATCTCAAAAGATGCCTGCAAAGGCGAAACCAAAGAAGCCTATAGACCAGTCAAGTGCCTCGGAGGCCAAAGAAGCAACCTGCAAAAGATAGGAACATGATAGAACAAAAAAACATCCTGCTCCCTTGACCCCAGCAATTTCTAATAAATTTTACATAAGGTGAGTGTATAAGGTATTAACAGGCTGACGCGAACAAACATCGAACCCCCAGGAAAGACCCGTCCCCCCCGGAGTCCAGAAGGGACTCAGCTACTATTGGCCCGCAGCAAGCCTGAACAGGTCAACGGATTTGACTAGTCCTGCCCGGTGCACCGTTCAGCCCGGACTAGGGTGCCATGTTGTACCACCAACACCTTACGTTGAGACTCGGTCCCGACAAGCAAGACTTCATAGCCTCCAAGAACACCTCACATACTCTCTGTTTTTAGCTCACCTCAACTCTTTCTTTTCCTTTCTGTATTCCCTCATTTTGCCACTCTTTCTTTCTGTGTTCTTCTTTTCCCCTCATTTCTTTTCTTTCTTTCCTCATTTCTCTTTTTTCTCTTTTTTCTTTTTTCATTTCCTTCTTTTTTTTTAATAAAATTTTCTTTTCTCATTTCATCTCTTTTTTCCTTTACAAAAAGTGATACAATTCATCAAAGCAAACCATAGTTCAAGGCGGGTCATAATCATCAAAAACCACCGATGGGATATCATCAAGAACCAGTAACGCACGCACCCTCGGTGGTAAGTCTAACAAATTATGGAAAATAAACTCCCCATCCTTATCCCCAACCCAATCTGCCAATGCAGCCACCGGGAGATTACCTTGTGGCAAACACTGGAGAACAGAAACAGATGCACAGGAACAAAGAAACCGGAGTCGTGACACCTCAGAGTCAAAGACCCATGGACTAGGTACAGTGGGGTCTACATAACCCTTAAGCTTAGGCAATACAGACTCTAAGACCAGGGACCTAAAACCCTCAGCTAAACACCATTCAAGAGAGCGGTGCATACCATGGAAAAAGTCCCGAAACCCGTCGACTGCCGAAATGGCTAAGCCGTAGCAGAAACCACCCCCCCCCCCCCCGATTACGTACCAAGGCAGCAGTCCCACCCACCGACTCAGAATATGAAAAATTGAGCTTTATAGAACCGTTCGGAGGGGGATCCCATCTAACAGCACAAACCACACGCCTCGGGACAACGGAATCAATGTAGGACAGAATGACAGGTCAGTTTGGTGGTAGGATGTGTTCCTGCGGCCATCGCCTAAAGAGACATTCTGCCACCCCTTTGGCAACGCCATACACCACCCGAGGTACACTCGGTGGCCCCCTGCCATATAAGCATGTGTTCCTGTGCTTCCATAACTCCCAAAGGATAAGATAAGGCAACCTGCAAATAACAAAAGCAACAAGACGGTTATGTGAAACCACCCGCTTCCACCAAGTCAAGAGCGTTCGTAGACCCCGATGACTGAACCGCAAGCCGAGTGATCCCATAAAAAATCCCCACACAGCCCTGGCAGTGTCCCCCGCATAAAAGATGTGATCAATAGTTTCCATAACAGGGTTATTGCAGCACCAGCATCTGGAAACAATAAGGTGCCCAAATCTAGCCATGGCATCATCAGTGGGCAAACGACTCCTTAACACATGACAAGCAAGAAATGACACCTTAAAGGGCAAATGTTTATGCCAACATGCACTCAAAAGTGGATCTGATTGCACCGGTTCAGGTCTCAATAAAGATTTTGCAGAGGAGAAAGAAAACAAACCGTCCGTAACCACCCGCCAAATAGGGATGTCAGCTACTGTTTGACCCAGCCGGGACATGTCAGCCTCCAATCCAGGTGGTATACGTGGCATAACACCCATTTTTGGATTCCTTTTATCCAGTTTCCGTTTATCTTCCGATGTGCTAGTTTTGTTGTTAATCTCCTTGTGTTAGGGCTTCAATTGGGCCTTGTGTTTTTGGGGGGTGTTACAAGAGGTGTGAGTAATGGACCTGGTGAACTCCCTACCAAGGAAGTAACTCCTGACCATATTAACCACATCCCCCTTAACAATTTCCCAACAAGATTTATAGAATGCCCCAGAAAACCCGTCAGGGCCTGCGGCACTAACAGAATTCATGGCAAACACAACATTTTTAATCTCATCCTCCTCAGGGATAGCAATAAGCCTAGCATATGTATATGTATATGTATATGTATATCTATATGTATATATATATATATATATATATATATATATATATATATATATGTATATATATATACATATATATATATATATATAGGGTCCGGATCAGGTGAGGACCTAATCTTACGTGAGGACGTAAGGACTAATCTAGACCATAAATCAGAATGATGTATGGCTGAGATTAAAAGGAACAAATCACACGGATTAAGAAAATAAATTCCTTTAAAATATAAAAATATATAAATTTAGGGTAAATCAGTCTTATTAAAAGATGTGCATTCCTATACAAAATGTTGTGTATTCCTATACTGAGTGTTGTGCATTGATAAATTTATTGTTGTGCATTCAAACCCCGCCAAAAAATCATGCAGTGGACATCCCAATGTCCTACGATGCACTGAACTACGTGCTATAATGCACAACTCTCTAGCCTATAATGCACAACTTA